TTATACTTATTCCCAAGAACCTTTGTTTATAGACGAATCTTATGACTTGATAAATGTAAATTACTGCTAAGAAGTTTAAGAAATGGAGACAAGAAAATACTAATTTACAAACATATCACTGCCATCCATTTCTCCAACCCTCGTTACCTGGTCTCACTGTTCATCTCACACAGGTAGCATGACATCATTCCCGTGTTACCTCGTCACGTCTCCACCTATCACACTTTGCTTTGGTCACTGTCAGGTTCACAAGTCAAGTCTCCTGTCCACTGTGCCTTAGAGGCTTGTGTTGGGCGTGGCAGTCTAGTGGATACAACTCCCGCCTCCTGTCCTTTGGGGTAGAAGAAGGCGCCCAGGACACCCTAAGTTCACCCAGCTGTAAAGAGGTACCTAACTTTACAATTGGAAAAGGTGGCTAACGCTGCCTCTCTTCTGTACCGGATTTTTTTTTATTTTTCTAGACTAATTTAATCTCCCAAGTAACTTTCCCAACATGTAATGATAATCTGTAGACTCAGGTTTGTCTTGTTGGCTGAGGCGAGCATACTGTTGGGTATAATTAGACTTACTTTCCCTTTTTACTTTAGCCACCACCATCAACACATATGATTTTTTAGATGCTAACATTTAATTCCAGACATAATATCTGGTTGTTGAAATTTAGGATTATACGTTGTGTTTCAGCTTCTAACAACAGCATCTCAACCAACTTATTTCTTGCTGAGTTCGAACACCAGAAAGTCGAGATTTAGCTAAAAAAAACTTTCCAGATCACATTCACCTGAGAGTTCCAAGTTCCTGCAAGAAAGTTTCATCTCATTTATATTGTCAAAGGTTCAACCTCTTGGGAGTTGTCTTTAGGCTTCAAACATTATCCTCAGCTCCAAGTCACAAGGAAGTATTTTTGCCCTAATATTTGGTGTCCAAGCCTTATAACTCTCATGTTCTTAGTTTCAGATGACAAAATATTACTCTACGGTTCTAAGTCCTGCTATAGAATCGTTCCTACAACATTACTTTTCATGGTTCTTTCAAGTTTTGTCACTGGGGTTGGTAGTCTTGCGTCTCATATAAGTTTGTGTTTTTAATACTATTGTTATCAGGGTCAGTGAGACCTTTCATAGCTACTTTATCACCTCCTCTTGTCATTCTTAGTCATAATATACGTCGTTCTTTCTCATGCCAACTCTACTTCATGTTCTTTTCATTTAGTTAAACTTCATCATCATTCACCTCCTTCATTCCTCACACCTTCTTGTCTCTGGAACTCCTTGGCTACCACGTCCCCCAATCCACATACAACTTATATATATATAGATGTAATGATACACCCACACCCACAACACAAGTTAAATCATCAAAATCCATCTTTCTTACACATGGTCAACTAGATACGTCGAGCCTTGAAAATAGTTCACTTGTCGATCAGTGTCATTATAGGTCACGTATGCCTCCCTGACCCATCAAGCAGTAACAACAAGACTAAATAGAAACTTATAAAGCGAGAAAATAGATACAGCAGTCACCAGCCTTTACATGGACTTGTATCGAATAAATTGTAGATATGTCTTGGTGTCTCGTGTGTGTGTGTGTGTGTGTCCAGTACCGTGGCAGGAGTGAGTACCTTCCTTTGTCTCAGTTGTTTTGGTGATGTAAAGAGTCGCGTCACAGTTACCTTGGACAGGGTAGACGGTAGAGACGATAATTGTGTTTGAAAAATTCTTCCCAATATGGTCTGAATGGAGGTATTATTACTCTATATAAAAATGTATATAACACCATCATTAACATTACACTAGAAATAATAAGTTAAACGCATTATTGTCAGACATTCATACCTGCTGAGTGTTCTAGGAGTGAAAAACAACGGTTCATTGTTCTAAAATTAATTAGTAACCAATTAAAATACGAAAGCATCACTAATTAAAGACTGAACGCAGGCTAGTGGCAATTACACAGAAAACTTACGGACGTGTCAGTGTGTCAGTGAGCGGGAGGGGCTCGGTCTTGGCTTATAAACTGTGTTAGTGCGGGCGTCTACTCACGGTCTCACCCACACTTAACTCTTCCATACAGACGTCAAAATGAACACTTCTCATCACCTATCATAATACTCAGAAATATTGTGAAAATTCTCTCGGTAAGTAATCAATCAAGCAGACAAGACTATTATATATACAGCTGACCGATGCAGCTAAAAAAAAACCACACACACACCAAAAAAAATCAGGATAATAAAACACAGTGACATCTCTCATGACTCAGAGGGAAAAAGATGGCGGTCACCCTGGCTGTCAGAGGAATGACACAACAACATTAGTTACCCCGCCAAGAAGAGTGTCCTCACAGCTCTGGCACACACACACACACACACACACACACACACACACACACACACAACACGAGACAGGTATATAATATTGCATATGACAGTTTGCAACACAGCGAAGATATTGTAGATTCATGGCCACAGCAGCTTCCGCCGATATGGTTGTAGTGGTACAGTAGTTTCCTCCAAGTATAAGACATTCCTGTACCCGCCACCAAGACAGACGTGGGTCTACTAACACTCCCCACTAACACGGCGATACGAGGAACTCCAGTTTTAGTCCAGCCCGTGTAGTAGGAGGGGAAGGAGGGAGTGAAGGAATGACAGAGGGAGATGAGAAGGGAGGAAAGGAAAGATAGGAGAGAGGAAAGGAGAGACAGGAGGGAGGAAGCGAGAGAAAGGAAGGAGAAAGGGAGACAAAGAAAGAAGGAATGAAGAGAGGGAGATAATAAACTGAGATATAGCGTATTTACAAACCTCACACTCGTCTTTCTTATACACTAACTGTAATTCCATCACATACATGTACGCGTTGCATCACTTGAGCTGTATAATGAATAAAGTGAATCATACAAGGTGACAGATTCTACAAGGGGATTCTCATGACAGGTTCTACAAGATTCTCATGACAGGTTCTACAAGATTCTCATGACAGGTTCTACAAGATTCTCATGACAGGTTCTACAAGATTCTCATGACAGGTTCTACAAAAGGGATTCTCATGCATCCTGAACAGTATCTAGTGAAGGTAAATAAATTTCGCCAAGCTCGGAGTTTAATTCTCTGATCTGATTATGTGTGACGGTGAGCAGAATTACGCAAGTCTGTACTCAGCATTTAAGAAGACTTTAAGTTTTAGACGTGAAAAGTCGTGAGAGTAAAACCTGTTAGTATACTGAACTGGATATTATAGGAAAAAATAAATATACCTGTATATATATGATGAAGGTGGTAGGATGAGGAAGAAGAGGGAGAGGTGGAAGGAGAGAGGAAGAAGAGGGAGAGGTGGAAGGAGAGTGGAAGAAGAGGGAGAGGTGGAAGGAGAGAGGAAGAGGAAGGAGGTAATGAAGGATTAGTAGAGGAAGGGAAGGAAGGAGTAAAAGAATGGTAGAGGAAGAGGAGAAAATGAGTGAAGGAATGACAGTGAGAGAGGAAAGGAGGGAGGGAGAGAAAGGGAGGAGAAGAGGAGAGAAAGGAGGGAGGAAAGATGAGAAAGGAGAGAAGTAGATACGAAAGAGTGATTGAAGAATTGACAGAAGGAGAGGAAGGAAAGACAGAGGGAATGAGAAAATTAGAAGAACGAGGAAAGAAGAGAAGGAGGGAGGAGCAAAGAGAAAGTGAAAGAGATCTAAAGTGAGAGACAAGCAGAGAGATATAGACATACAGTGCATAGATAGATAGACATAGATATTTAATAGGATAATAGACGCCGTGAAATAGGGACCTATGTCTATTTCTTAAACCGGAGCATAAACCCATTTCTTAAACCGGAGCATAAATCCATTTCTTAAACCGGAGCATAAACACGTTTTTGAAGCCTTCAGAGTACCTTCACTGCCTCCTCAGAGTACCTTTATGCTAACCAAAGGCTTCTCTCTCTCTCTCTCTCTCTCTCTCTCTCTCTCTCTCTCTCTCTCTCTCTCTAATTACTCAACATTCTACTCCTGAGATATATTCCTGACAACACACACACACACACACACACACACACACACACACACACACACACATAATGACTCAGTAAAGACAATAACTCTAGCGCTCTGCCTTGGGGGGTTCATAACAATATACACCTGAACAGGAACAAGAGGAGGGTGAACACGGGCTGATGGCAGTCAAGAACTTTTAAATATACTTGGCAGACCATTACAAAAGTGGCGTGAGTTAAGGGCAGGTGAAGGTTAAAGTGCATGTGTTAATGGCAGACGGGAATTTAAAGTGTTTGAGTTAGTGATGGATAAGGATATGTGAGTGTGGATTAGTTAGGCAGATGGAATGGAAGTGGTAGATGCTGAGAAAGTGCGGTGGCAGATGGAATGGAAGTGTTGTGTAAGGCGGAGAGAAAAAGCATTAGTACATGGGAACAAAGCGTCGTGGTTGATGAGAACAAAGTACAGTGGTAGATGGGAACAAAGTGGCGTGGCTGATGGGGTCATAAAATGCATGAGAAATTAGGGAGTCGTGTCCTTAAGAGTTGACGAGGCTTGTGTGTACATGTTTGAGGGCAAGACTTAGCTATTTTGCAGGAAGGAAATGATAATCACTGAGGACTCTTCTCTCGCTCGTCCTAGGCACAAACGAGCTACGACTCTCTCCCCTCCACGAGACGAACTATTAAGCGGATGATCGTTGCAGGGTTATCCTCGACTCGTGTCCCTTGTATCTGCGACCCACAATGCAATCCTCATTCCGGCTGGGAGATAAGTGTATCACCCCTCCTCCCGCCTGCCTCGTAACTATCTATCAAGGACATCATTATCCAGAAAGGCCTTCAAAGGGCAAGAGAAAACGTACGAGTGGAGGAGAGGGGGTGCAAAAATAAAGAGGGGGCAAGAGAAGATGTAGTAGAGGAAAAGAGGCATTTAGGCGTCACGCAGATCTCCCCAGCCTGCCACTGGGGCTGAGAAATGTGACCTCCCTGGGTTGGCGCGCGTCAGTTGCCCTCGTGAGGTGCGGGAAGGTGGACGTGTGTGAGTGCTGCTGCCGCGCCGACCCACACCTACGCTCTACCGCCACTCCTCCACCACTCAACTACGCGCCAACTCACGTCCACACCTGGAAAACATCACCGAAAAGCATCAAGATGTTTGCTACTAGTTTTTCTTACATAACCGTGAAGACTTTTCCTTATAAACTGTTTCCAGGAAGAGCGTAGAGAGAATAAGAAACGCGGAAAAAAATATCTGGCGACACGAGTGAACCTTTAACGTATCACATTCCCTTCCCCAAAGTGACCGCCACTAACACAGAAAACAAAGAAGAATCCTGATTAATAGTAGGCAATCTAGGTGGACGGCGCGCGGTGGTTGGGAGACAGATTACTCCTATGATAAATAAAGTGGAGGAACTGTTCCAAGTCTGTGAGATAGCATACACACACCCCACCCTCTCACGGGGTGAGGGGGTCCACCCTCACTAACCTGCCCAACAGAAAACACAACATTTTTGCTGCCCGACACGACACCAACGTGCGGGTCCACATCCGGATGAATTGGAATTGATGAGCTGAGGTGACTTGATGAATCACTACAGATGAAAACTGGAAACCAAGTCGCCTGACGGATGGAAAATCGTTTTGCACGACGGCGCCTGACTTGGATTAGAGCATTTTTTCCCCCGAGATTCTGGCGTCAGGTTCTGGAGTGATTTATTGGTCTGAGAAACTGTTGGCGCTGGTGTGTGACGGCTGCTGTCCGCCCCCGCCCACGACCAACTGGATAATTTAAATTTTAAAGGATAATTGTTACTCGCATTATACATAACTTAAAGTAATTATCGTTACAGACTTAACTCGTAGACTAATCTGAGCGAACATAGTGATCAGAAAATCAGAAAAAAACAAAAAACAGGAACAATTGAGCGTTATGGACAGTGGTGGTGGGCCCCAGGTCAGTCGCTGCCTGTGATGAAGGTGAGGGCCCCAAGCCGCGCCCTTCCTGGCTGTGTCCTCCCTGGGGGGCCCTCTTCTGCATGAGACAAGGTGAGTGAGTCAGTGATGGGGTTCGCACAAGTTACATTCACCCTTAATACCTAATGTAATCTCTCCTGTAATCCCGGAAATTAAACCAAGCCTTCAATGACGGTCTCTCCCTGATTACTCGCCAGAAGCTCCGTAAAAGTTGGCTTTAAGGAAAAAGTTCTAGAAAATGGGCTGGTGGGAGTCTCGCTACGCTTCCCTGTCAATGTATGCTTTGTGATACCTGTTTCAAGGATGGTTTTATTAAGTCTTGAGTGTACTAGAGTTTGGTGTTTCTTTACCTGAGCGCTACACACACGGTCCGTCGCTCTGTTCTCTCTATAGTGAGCTGAGGCGTCGTTTTCCATAAATACGCGATCGAACCAAGTCGACAAAACCCTCAAGTGCAGTTCTTGTGTAGTGATCGGTCGGTAAATCAGCGGGAATGGTCGTTGGGCAGAGAGACACAGGTGCGTCCTGCAGTGTGACAGATAATAAAAGATGTTTATGTCTGTCGATACCATCTCCACAATTACAGTATGATGAAACGATCTTGTGGCGATTACTGCAGGCACATCGAGACTCCGGCCACGAATTATTTAATGTTCTTACTGTAAATCAAAACCTAGCTGGGGATGTGAGAAAGAATTTGCTCAGAATACGGCGCAAAATTGATGGCCCTAAGTTATAGCATGAACCAACTGTCCCTTGATGCGATATCTTATTCTCATTTAAGGGGAAAAAATAACTTAAGAATCCTTAGGAATCCTGACCCTAGTGTTTATGGGAGGCCAACCAGGGCCATACAATTCCAGGGATCCCTTCCGTAAAATTTAAGCTCGACGATTGTTTTCACCGTTAATGGGAAATGTTTTATGTTATCTGATTTTTGTCGCTGGAGTTATCGAAGCTTGTTGTGAGACTTGACTCCTCTAGTCTTGGTAATATTCAGTCACATAAAGTCTCTCTCGCTCTAGGCCTGTAGGAGAGAGAGAGAGAGAGAGAACATCAGCTAAAGTCTCTCTCTCTCTCTCTCTCTCTCTCTCTCTCTCTCTCTCTCTCTCTCTCTCTCTCTCTCTCTCTCTCTGCCTGTAGAAGGGAGAACGAGAGAACATCAGCATACGAAGTGTTCTGTTTGAGCTTGGAGAGGGGTGGGGTGAGAGAGAGAGATAGTACTGTACAAGAGAGATCACTGGCCCACATCAGCTGCGTCATACAAAGCAACATGTAGCAACAGCTGTCTTGATGACCTACTTAACACGTGGATCAATAAACTGTAATTGTTGATGCAACTTTGTGTAAATGTCACTTGTCTGGATGGAGGGAAAATGTCAAGAGGCAGAGTTCTACGTGTTCTCTCTCTCTCTCTCTCTCTCTTCTCTCTCTCTCTCTCTCTCTCTCTCTCTCTCTCTCTCTCTCTCTCTCTTTCTATTTTTGTTATTTTTCAGCTCCTTTTGCCTGTCCCTTTCACGTTCTTCTCTCATTCCCTATTCTGTCTTCCTATCTGTCTCTGGTTCTGCTGTCTCTTTTACACACACACTCTCTTGTTCCCCGTAACTATTTCTGTCTTTCCACTCTCTCTCTCTCTCTCTCTCTCTCGGTTTTTTACTTGCCTCTCTCACTTCATTTTGCATTCCTCCCATTCTCGTACTTTTTCTCATCCGCTTTTCTTTATTTCCCCTCTCTCTCTTTCTGTCTTTTTTCTCTCTCTCTCATCCTATCCAGTATCTCCTATATTTTCCTTCTTCTCTCTCCCTCCCTCTTCTCCCTCCTTCCCTCTTCCCCCCTCTCGTGAGCGCTTCTTCATACCCAAGTCACACTCATGCGTAAAAACATTAACAAAAATTCTGGGTAAAATTTAGTGGCAGTAAAGAAAGGTTAGTCGGTAGTGGTGTCCCCTCCCTGGCCACAAATTGGTGATTTCACTCGACATCTTCATCGCGGAAGTGTTGGGCCGTTTCCTGGTCACCCCCTGGGGAGAGACCAGGTCCTTCTTTACAACCCTCACGCACCCTTCACCCACTGCTTCACCGATCACGTCAGGTGCTGCCGTCACTCTCATCGTCCTTCCTACATTTTAAAACAGAATCTTGCGTAGGTAACATGGTCGTGTTCTTCTTCTTATTCTTCTTCTTCCTCTGGTGAATCTCAAGGCGGGTGTGTCGTCGTCTTCCTCCCCCTCCTCTTCTTCTTCCCTCTTTCTGTCCTCTTCCTCTCGACTAGGTCCTCCTCCTCAGTGACTGTGGTCTGCTCCCAAGGTAACATGTCGACAATCGTTCTATTTTTTTTTTCAATTTAGATAATATACTGTAAACTTGTCACCGATTCTTGTATTTGTCTTTGGTAAGGTGATGGTCCAGAGTCTTATATGAGTCTCTGAAGGTCGTACTGTACAGTCTTACATCGGTGAGTCTCTGAAAGTCGTACAATTCAGAGTCTTACCAAAGAGATGTATACTTCTTAAATTGCCTTCCATGTACCCCTCTCCTGGTGACCCATGACTTATCTCCTGGTGACCCATGACCTCTCTCCTGGTGACCCATGACCTATATCCTGGTGACCTATGACCTATATCTATTGTTGACCCATGACCTATATCCTGGTGACCTATGACCTCTCTCTTGGTATCCCATGACCTTTTTCCTGGTGACCCATGACTTCTTTCCTGGTGACCCATGACCTATATCTCGGTGACCCATGACCTGTCTCCCGGTGACCTATGACCTATATCTCTTGTTGACGCATGACCTCTCTCCTGTTGACATATGACCTATATCTCTTGTTGACCCATGACCTTTCTCCTGTTGACATATGACCTATATCTCTTGTTGATCCATGGCCTATCTCCTGGTGACCCATGACCTCTCTCCTGTTGACCCATGACCTCTTTCATGGTGACCCATGACCTATCTCCTGGTGACCTATGACCTTTCTCCTGTTGACCCATGACCTCTTTCATGGTGACCCATGACCTATCTCCTGTTGACCCATGACCTTTCTCCTGTTGACCCATGACATATCTCCTGTTGACCTACGACCTACAGTATATCTCTTGGTGACCCATGACCTATATCTCCTGGTGACACACACACACACACACACACACACACACACACACACACACACACACCAGAACAACTGACCCAACTCTTAGGCTATACAATGGTTGTAAACTATTCCTCGTCTGTAGTTCTGTGGAGAGCTTCCTTAACCCTATATAATTATTAAACTTTAATCCTTTGAGATTTATGAAAGAAACTGAATGAAATAAACATATGAAAGAAAGAAAAGCGATCATTCTATTCCTAAGATAATTATATAACGAAACTAAATGAAATAAACGTCTACAAAAATAAAGAAATATATATTCCTAAGGTGACGATAAAACGAAACTTAATGATTAAAATGTCTAAAGGAATAAAACAAAATAAACGCGATTATCTGGAAGCGATCACCGAAACGAACACAAATTGACGGAACAAAAAAATACGTAAATATATAGAAAAATCTAAATACAGCGTAAATAGAATAATGAATAACGATAATTTATAACAGAAATCGATTTAATATAAAACAAAAGTGGATAAAAAATAATTGAAAAAAATAAAAAAAAAATTATAAAAAAAAATTAAAGAAAATTACAGACAGAAATGAAAACACCACCAAAAATTAAAGATAAAATGAAAGAAAAATGATATAAAAACAAGAAGACAAAAACCAAGCAGTGTGGCTAGTGGTGAGGCATTATAGATGAATACCTCAACTTGTTTTCTATTGAATATGGCGTGGCAGGGCTACACGGACGGAGGTAAGCCCAGGGCAGTCTAAATAAGATTCACACGCGCACGCTACCTAACCCCCAGGAGGCGGTGAAGGAGAGAGAGAGAGAGAGAGAGAGAGAGGCCTACACTCTTCCTTACTACCCACACGCTTTATGGTAGAGAGAGAAAGAGAGAAAAGGTTTTAAGCTTTTGTCTCGCCAGCTTAGGGTGAAAAAGGACTACAGGTGTCACTTAAGCGTTTTAAATACAAGTTTATAGCTAGAGAAGTATGAGAAATATTCGATGAGTTTGAGGAGCGTGTTTATGTTATATAGTACAAGATGCAGCTTAAGTGACGCATAAGCTTGGTTTAGAGTACAAGCTGAAGCTTAAGTGACGCATAAGAGCTTATAACCTTCTGAAGTAAACTACATCATAAGAAAAACAAAAGGAACATTATATTTGTGATAATGATGAACACAGTCATTGTACTCAGGTAAATCAAGGTGTAAGGCAGGTAAATCAAGGTGTGGGGCAGGTAACTCGAGGTGTGAGGCAGGTAACTCGAGGTGTGAGCCAGGTAACTCGAGGTGTGAGGCAGGTAACTCGAGGTGTGAGGCAGGTAACTCGAGGTGTGAGGCAGGTAACACGAGGTGTGAGGCAGGTAACTCGAGGTGTGAGGCAGGTAACTCGAGGTGTGAGGCAGGTAACACGAGGTGTGAGGCAGGTAACTCGAGGTGTGAGGCAGGTAACTCGAGGTGTGAGGCAGGTAACTCGAGGTGTGGGGCAGGTAACTCGAGGTGTGAGGTAACTCGAGGTGTGAGGCAAACTTCAGGTAACTCGATGTGAGAGGTAGCAGGTGTGTGAGGCAGGTAACTCGAGGTGTGAGGCAGGTAACTCGAGGTGTGAGGCAGGTAACTCGAGGTGTGAGGCAGGTTTAGGCAGATGGAGGCAGGTATGTAGGTACGATAGGTGTGTAGGTGCGACAGGTGTGTAGGTGCGGCAGGTGTGTAGGTGTGGCAGTGACAGTGAAAGGAAATACTACTCTATAGTCTGTTAACGGGAAGAAAACGAATAGATTATCTGTTAACGGGGTAAAACCAGCGATGTAACATATCAACAGGAAATCTGTTAACGGGATGAAAAAACAGAATCCAGTATTATACTCTGTCACAGAGAGAGAATCAGAGGTTACAATCTGTTAACGGGAAAATCAAACAATAACCTATTAACAGTAGAATAACCAAAGACATTATTTCAATC